TTTGTTGGTTAGTTTCCATGGCAGTTATTGTCTGTGTATGTGTGTGCCCGCCCCTCACCCTCTCTCCTTATTTAGCAGGGCCTCGCAGCTGAGGCAGTGGAGATGCCAGGGCTCTGGTAAGCTGGCTGAGATCCTCTTGGTGGGGGTCATGCCTCCTGGAGCTTCCCGGCATTTGGTGTGGTGCCCTCTGCAGAAGGCGGGGCTCTATCCTAGTTCATTGGCCAGAGAGAGGCAGCAGTAGTGGACTCGCAATCCTAGGGGAAGCCCTGGGGACCTTGGAGCCCCTCCCAACACAGCCCCCAACCTGTTCCTAGGAGGAGCCTCTAGCCGACCCCTGCCCGACCCTCTCCAGCCCCCTCCTCTCCTTTGTTTTTTGGCGGAAGATCACCTGATATCCTTTTTCCCTGGTCAGGTAAGTTTTCTTTCAATCCATCTATGCAGAGTGTCATCTTGGCATTCCTAGTGCCTGCTGCTGGGGAGACAGGCAATGGTGTTGTGAGAAGACCGCTTAGCCCAGGCAGGCTGGCCTGGGAGTGGGAGGCGTGAGCATCTCTAAGTGCCTTTCTTCCTCAGTTGGGCCTCTCTGGCTTTGCAGAGAAGGGTTCCTTCCCAGCTGGTTCAACCCAGATCATTAACTTCAAGATCACTGTCTCAGGCACAGACTGACCAACACACAGCCATCACCCCGAGACAACTTCTGGCTTCTGGTGTGAATTCAGCTCAACTTGTTAAATCTTAACTATGTACAAGTTGCTGTGCTTGGCTCTGAAGGGGTTGCAAGAATGACACACAATGCAATTCCTGTCTTAAAAATGCATACCATTTGAAAAGAAAGACGACATCTACACAAATGGGTATGCAGACTCTGGAGTCAATCAGGCTGGATTTTACAGCCTATTTTGGCCATGAGACCTTGGGCAGATCACTTAACCTCCCTAAGTCTCGGTCCCCTCATCTGCAAAACGGAGATAATAATAGTGCCTACTATATGGGTGAAATTATACACACACACACACAATTCCTCTTTAACTATTATTACTATAATTAAATTCGTATGAAGTTCAAATTATATAAAATATGTAAAGAATCTGGCATAGTGCTCTAAATATCAGTGGTGGTTATTATCATGCAAGGCAGTCCTAAGTGCTAACATAGGTACAAATATAGTTCTATAGAAATATGGGAAAGGTTGCTTTTACCTGCAGGGACAGCACTAGGCTCCTGGAGGATGCCGAGGCTGAAGGATGAATCCGATTTCAGCCAGCAGGGAGGAGTGCATGCTGCAGAGAGCACCAAGCCAAAGCGTGGCGGCAGGAAACGAGAGGCCTCCTGGGTATCGGTGCTAGAGCAGGGTGACTGGAGGCCAGGCACGGAGCCTGCTCGAGAGGCTGGGCTAGACTTTGGTCTTCCATTCTTCTTGGCTCCCATCAACTTGAGGACAGAGGCAAACCTTGGGTTGTGACACTGTGAATACTGGAGTAACCAGCTCAGCACTAGGAGGGGTGTGTATGTGACATTTTAAAGAAACCCAGGCTGGGAGCCCCGAGACCAGGGTTCTGGTCCTAGCTGAGCTTCCAGTTGAACAAGGTGCTAATCTCTTCACCTGTTCTGGTTTGTTTTCTCACTTGTGAAGTAGGAATAATAAATCAGTTTGTAAAATACAAAGCACAGTTCTTCAAGATAAAGAAGAATTAGTGTATCATCTGCAAAGCTCTGGGGGCAACGCACAGGAATAAATCATTTAACAAGAAGACCTAAGAAAATCATTTAGGGCAACACCTGATTCATAGTTGTAGTTGAATAAATGTTCTCTCCCATAATTGTTTGACTGACTCATGCATTCAACAGATATTTCTGGAGCCCCCACTGCATGGCCAGGCATT